GTGAGTCATAAAGGAAAATGTATAAGCTTTTCCCAATCTCTAACCACCCTAAGGACATCATAGGTCCCACTAATTAGCATCTGTACTATAACAAAAAACTAATAGCCCCTTATCTTCTTCAGTTTGATTACTTCTTTATTTTAATCTGTTTCAAATAAATAACGAACAATATTGTAAAATAATTATGAATAAAATATTGGAACTGGCCCTTGTTTTACAACTGACAAAAACCAAAACAAACTATTCATACCTCTGTAGCCAAAGCCCCCATGTATAAAGTGAAATAATGTGGAGGTCATGTACAAGGTGTAAGCCAAAAATAAGCTCTGCCTTTTAATTGGCTATTGATTGTGTTTTTCTAAAAATAGAGTATAATGTAGCTTTTAAAATGTACACTTGCTTTGCACATATATTAGTGCTAGAAATATGAATTTTTCATAAATGTCTCACATCTGATTGTTTTTAATTTTCTAAGAAGAGAAGAATTAATTCTCTGAGAAATCATTTACTCTCAAATTTATTCTCAATTTTTTTGTGAATCAGTATATGTATGTATATACATACACATTTATTTGTATTTATATATGTGAATATTTAAAAGAACAAATGTATATACATATAGATACATAAATAGAAATTAATGTGTTAGCATCCTTAGTATTTTATTTATTAGTTGGTGTTAGTTATTCTTGTATATAAATTGACAAATGCGCATTATTGGACCTATACAGATTCTCTAGCTCTAAACATAAATTTTAATTTTGTTTTCAAATTAGAGAATATTATGTCACTATGGTTAAATGGGTAAGCAATACCAAGACAGTGGTGAGATGGCTAAACCGACCTCAGAACATGTCCATCCTTACAGTCTGTGAGACGACTACTGGTGCTTGCAGTAGAGTGAGTACAACTTACTTTTCTTTTATGCTTAAAATAAAGTAGTTTATGCTCCCTTACAAAGGGAAATATTTAACTTCCAAAGGTGGCAGGAAAATAAGTCATCCTATTAAAAGTATATACTTTAATCCATAAAGCTTCCAAACTTTGAAGTGAACAATATCAATAATGAGAAGAGAACAAACTAAGCTTTTAAAAAATAAATGAATTTTATAAGCATAAGAGTAATCTATGCCACATGAGTTTCATTTTCAAATATGGAATTTCAATGCATATTTTGCCTCTGATTAACTTGCTTATGTGGGAAGTTTCTTTTTCCTGTCTTCTTTAAACACATCCAATTTTTTTCAGTAGTTTAGGTTAGTCTTATAAAATAGTGTTGTCTCTGTTCTTACATTAAGTAAAAATAATCCAAATATTGTTCTTGAACCACTTTGTTTTGAAAACAGGTTATATTTTAATTTCTAGAATCAGTTTTTATAAACTCTGCAGTAAATTCAATATGTGTCATTTTTAAGGTTCCTGGTAGAAGTAATAGTACAATCATCTTAAATTGTTATATTATGTGCTCGGTACTTGGGTAAAAAATT